CCCGGATGCCTGGTTCCTCTCCGGAGATGTGTGGTCCCTCCTTGGATGCCTGGTCCCTCCCCAGATGCCTGGGTCCCCTCCCCAGGATGCCTGGGTTCCCCCCTCGGACGCCTGGGTCCCCATCCCAGCTCTTTGCAACCCCCCGCTGCTCCCAGCACGGAGCCCTGGGGTTGTGGAAGGTGGTTTTTAGAGGGGTTGGTGGCCCCCCCCAACCTGGGGTCATGGGTGGCCTTAGCAGGACGCTGGCATCCCTCCTTGGTGACCCTCCTGCCATCATTGAGCATCTACAGGGCGGGGGTCCACCCCATCCTCTTGCTGTGACCAGCTGCCGGGTGGGGACATCACGAAGATGTAGGTGCATCACTCGGACCCCCCCCCCAGATTCCCCCAAGCCCACTGTGGGGCCACCAGCCTGGTTGTGCTGGAGGAACGTCAGGCTCCTCCAGATGTTGCCTCACGCCTTCCTGGCGTGTTCCCCGCCACATGGTCCTTCGCTACCAGCAGAATCGGTGGCGCTGGAGGTGCTGGATGCCCACCAAGGTCCATGCTGCACTGTGGGCATAGAGAGGTAGGTGCAGGTCCCCTAATTTTGGGCACAGGCATGAAAGTTTTGGACTGGTATCATCAAGCGTGGCCTCTGGGCTTTGCCACAGAGCAGCTTCACACCACCGGAAGTTGAATCTGGCTGCACATACCAGTACTGAGGAAGTACTGGGACCAGTTTGGCCCCAGCGCAATGAGAAGAGAGGCAGGGAGAGGCAGGCACATGGGCACGGAGGGTGCCCGAGATGGGGAGAGTGGAGACCTGCATCCCCAGACCGCCGTGTCCTCCCAGTAAAACCCAACAGCCCCAGCACAGAGCTCCCACTGGTGTTTCTCGTGGTAGCACATTCATCCCACCCATGGCACCAGCACAATCGTCCTCCTGCAAGCAGCAACGATGACCCAGAGCAAAGGAAAGAAATGGGTTATTTATTGAGCTTTTGATATAAACTGCCTCCGACGGTTTCCTTTT